TTATCTACTACTACAGCATCGATATTGAATGAGGAGACGAGTGGAGGAATGATGAACAATGCTTTCTTTATATAAGAGTCATTATGATTTGTAATGCTTCTACATATAAAAATAATATACTCAAATACTTCCTTCTATGTATTACTCACAAAACTTTTCCTTAGTGTTCCGACTTTGAACCTTTAGCTTTCCATCAATATTAACAACTAAAATATGCCACAACTCCTGCTCACTTGGTCAAATATTTACCATGAAGTAGTGCGATCGTGCTCATCAGATCCCCGATTAATCTGTTGGATAAACAATGGAGAGCGTGCTCGTGAGCCCGTGTGTCTGGCCCTTTATCTCCGTGGGCCCAGGGAGGTGGTGGCAGCAAACAAAACTCGATCATAAAAATAATTATAACTTATCAATAAACGTGGGCTTTTCATATACCTACTCATATGTTGTATATATTTATTTGGAAGAGAAGGCGATCCAGAGTGAAACTCGCAGACGAAATGTCGCCAGTGCAACGTCAGATAGAGGCATTCAGACTTTATTTACAGACGCATGCCGCAGTTACATGTTGTAAATTGAATAAATATCAACGAACAAAGCTGCAGGGCATTTGCCTCTCAGAATGATATATAAACCTCATGGATGGCATCCAATATGAACCATTGGATAAGTGATCTGAGCATAGCTTAAAGTTGATTAAACTATTTAAATGAATTGGATATGGACTGGAACTATGTTGAAAGGATTCGTGAGTTTTAGTTATGATTTGCTGGCTTCCAGTGTGAAGCTAGAAGAATCGAAATAAAAGTCAATAATTACAATACAAATTGCTGTTTGTGTAAATCGAGTCATAAATATTGGAGAACGTGGAGGGATTGGGGCTGTGGCTATACACGGGGTTGGGGTTGGGGTTTGTGGTGGCTATAAAAGCGGAGTTTTATTTCAATCTGCCCTTCGCGCTGTGTGACCCACCATTGCTAATGATTAGATAAGTTTAGTACGCACCACACACCACCAGCATGGAGGCTCGACCCACCGAACTGCAGTCGCTCAGGGTGGGAGGCGCGAGGCCTCGCAAGTCCCGTTTATGCATTCAGATCCCAGGCATTGCACACACACACACACACACACACACACACACATGCACTTACCTATCGATCTACAAAGAGGCACTAAATCAACAAGAACCGCTATGCCGCGATGTCCAACTGGAGTCGGAGTGCTATAAATAATTTATTTATAGCCGCGCTGCTACAATATTGCCACCACACAGAGATGGTAGTAGAGCCAACAGCACCTCACCTCATGCTCAACGAGAGAAGCGAGAGAAGCGTCGACGATGTCGAGGGGGCAATCAGTACGACAATTTTTGCTGATTGTCGAAACCGTTGAGCCGTTCGGCTTTCATGGTTTTCTGGTTGCGGTTGAGGTTGAGGTTTCTCTGGTATCGAAAATTACTTTGATAACCGATTGCTGGACGCTGATAACTGATAGCCATGTTATTATTAAGGGCTATTAAAATTCTGATTGAAAATTCATGTCAAAAATATATTTTATTGCCACTGTAAAACTTCATTTCAGCTCTTTTATTGCAGACAAAGCAAACGTGTTTCCACGCAACGCCA